TAAACTAAAAAGTTAAAATTGGCACTTTGCAAATTCACTTGCCTGATTCCTCAGCCTCCTATTCACAAATAGTTTGCAGTATTTCAAATCCCTTAAAATTCTAATCAACTCTGAAGAAACAGATTTTAAGCAGCAATGACATAAATCCTGAAAATCCTGCCAAAATATTCTGCCCCACCGCTTCTGGGTGTGTAGATAATTAATCCCTTGGGGCTGGCAAAAGTATCTGGGAATGAAGTCGCTATTTTCTGCTTTTAAATGAGAGAGAGAGTGCTAAGCCCCTGGGCTGGCATCTCCATTTCAAATACCATCAAAAACAGCTTGTCAATCGGTATTGCGTGCTGGTTTGGACGTTTCCAGAGTGCACCGACCAAACACTGCATGTGCAAACAGAGCGCCACTCGGAAGACAAGACGATGCCGGCAGGTTGAGAGCCCAGACCGGAGCCTGTGGACCCCAGAGAACGGGGTCTCCTGGTGTCAAACTCACCACCCTGTGCTCGGCCCTGTGCTGTGGGGAGGGACTCTGGAAATCGCACCCCTGCACGGCCAGGAGGGAGGGGAGAAACTGGAGGGGGAGGGAATGACCCGGCTAGGGCCAGGCGGCTCTGCCCTGGCAGCACTCCTCTGCCCTGGGCTCTTCTTCTCTGGGCAGTGACAGTTCCTTCCCATAGTGGCAGCTGAACCCGCTCTGTGGCTTTTCTGCCATCCTCGTCATCCTCCAAAGACCCCTGAGCACAAGTCAGCTGGCACCCCACCCCCCGCCCCAGCTCTAATGACCCAACCTCGTCCCTTTCATCCACGGTCAGCTGCCTAAGGCAGGTGCTTCCTTCATGGCATCTTCCTGCTCTCTTTTTCTGAGAGACGAGGTCTTGCTCTGTCACCTTGGCTGGCGTGCAGTGGCTCGATCACAGCTCACTGCAACCTCCAACTCCTGGCCTCAGTGATCCTCCTGCCTCAGCCTCCCAAAGTGCCGGGATTACGCACGTTCTCTTCTATCTTCTCCCTTCTCCTGACACCTGGCTTAGCAACTGTCTCTTATTAAGCTGTGTTAACATGACTGCTCTGGTTCATGTTTCTCGGCATGACCCCGTCTGATACGCCCAAACACGGCGAGCGGCTGGGTCCTCCCCCGGGCTCACCTCCTGCCGAGGCCACAGGGCAGACCAAGTACCTGCCCTGGACAGCCTGTGGATGAGCCGCCTTAAATGGGAACAGACCAGGGGGAGAGCACGGGGCTGAGAAGTGCCCCTGCAGGTCATGGCCAAAGCGAGTGCATGTGGCAGGGACTCCCCGACCTGCTGGAGGAAGAGACACGCAGGCTGCGCCCCGTGGTCCCGTGGTCCGAACAATCCCAGGCAGAGCCTGGGCTGGGGGGACGGCTGAGAGATGGCTGCAGCTTCTTCCCCGCCCCCCACCGCGCAGGGCCATCACTGGCGCACTGGGGAGGGTGCTTTCGCTGCAGTCCAGCATAAACAAGGACACAGAACTGCTCTCCCTCCCGACTCCCTTCTCTGCCACCCACAAGGCACAGGTCCTCCTCGCAGTCACTCCTCAATCCACCCCTCCTCACGGGCGGTGCCGCGTGCGGGGGTGGCTGCCTCGGGTGGGTGGCGCGCGCTCCACGCGCTCTGAGAGGCCACGTGCCTGCCTGAGTTGCGCATCATCAACCCGACGCTCACAGTGAGGCAGACACGGCGAGACACTGCTCGCTGATCCGCCCTCCTCTGTGGGCTGCAGAGGCAGAGTGACTCAGAACAGCAGGAAGGGGGAGGCTCTGGAAGATTCCAGTGCAGTTCTCCACCCCAGCCAGACCCCAGGCTCAGGCATTCCAGGGGACAGAGGGTGCCTGCTGCTCAGCATTCCAAGGGACAGAGGGGTGTCTGCTGCTGTGCATTCCAGGTGTCGCCTGCCCTAAGGAACTGCCCTAAGGAATCCTCGCTGTGGCTCGCTCAGCAAGACCTTTAGCCGCTTTCACAGAAAATCACAGTCGGGAAAGGGGAAGGAGGAGCATCATGTGACCGCTACGGTCCTGCTCACCTCCTTCCCCATCCGTTACCAGGCAGCCCTGCAACTCGGCTCGGCCTCCTCCTGCATCCTCTGACCTCCCAAGGGAACGTCTGCGGACACAGTCCTGTGTCCCCCACAGCACCTGTGTCCCTCCCCACCTCCCCGACTCGCCCTAGCTCCGATGACCGCCTTCACCTGTGCGTGCACCCAGCCTCGGCGTCACACCTTGGGCCCCATCACCGCTCACAGCACAGGGACCCCCATTTCTGGCTCCCGGTGCCAGGCGGGCCCCGCCGGAACCACGCACTGCCTGGTGGGGGTCTGCCGCTGCTGGGCACACTGCAAACCCCAAGAGAAGGCAGAGCTCACGGCTGGCTCAGAAGCGCTCGGACAACCAGACGGCCAGGGGCCGAGCGCAGAGGCCGCAAAGGTGGCATTCCTGACCCGGGGTGGGCTCTTTGGCATGAGCTCTGTCCGCCCTCACAGCATGAATGCCGCCTTTACCCCAGCTCCTAGGTCTCTCCCCGGGGCGACACGCAGGTGGCACCCTCCCCTGCACGCTCTTCTTTGCGTCCTGTCAGCCAGAGCTCCCGCCCCTCGCGTGTCGCTCCCACGCACAGCACCTGGCCCTGGGGATGGGCCAAACCTGTGTCCACCACAACCGCTTCCTCAGTTTAGCCACCCAAGGACAACTACAGCTCAGGTGCTCGGAGCTGTCACAGGTGAGATGGGGTGGGAGGCTGAGAGGGCTGGCCACCTGCTGTGGGCATGTGGGGCTGGCGGTGGGGGCTGCTGGCTGGCGGGCTTGTCTCGGTGGCAGAACAGAGGCCCCGCACGGAGCGCAGACTACAGACCAGAACAGGGCGGCCGTGCCGGTGGGCAGGGAGGGAGGCCACCCCCGCTTGGCTACTCACGCCATTTATTACTTGGGCCATCTGTGGACACCACCTTCCTTCCTCTCTCCTTGAGAAATCCCATCTATTCTTAAGCCTTGGTGTCACTCGTCCAGATCGCCCTGTGAGTAGAATTGGCTGTGACGCTATCTGAAAAGCACCGTGTGGGTGTGCGCCAGGAAACGTCAAAGCCAACAGCCACAAGCCCATCAACGTCCCTCCTGCCTCCCACCCCGTGTCACCGAAGCGGCCCACTCTGCAGACATGGCCCTCCCTGTCCAGACAGCGCTGGTTACAGCAAGCCCCTGTTAGCGGGGAGCGGGCAGTCACTTACATGAGCGATAGGGCGGTGTCGGCCCACACGGGGTCCTGCAGACAGCAGAGAATTGCTGAGCAGCACATGGCACACACATGTGCACCCTTGCTCAGCCATGCTCACACGCGTGCCAGGACATACATGCACTCACATACACATGCACAGACGTGGTCCAGGGCCAGAGGCGGGAGGGAAAGAGATCAACCGAAAAATGGGAAGAGTAAGTTTTGCTTTTCTCCGTGACAGCAAAGAAGAATAACAGAAACTCAGTCGCAAACTAAGAGAAAGTCAGAAAAGTGAGAAACTAACCAGTTCTGTTCCTTCTGGGAGAAATACCAAAACGACGCCTGTGTTTCTAGGACTGGGATACCTTCTGGCTCAGACCCTGGGGCTGGCAGAGGCCAGAGAGAAAGAGGGAGAATTCCAACTAGATGACAGGGAAGCAAGGAGAGCAGTGTGGCCCGGGAGCACGAGGGGGTCCCGCGGACCCTCAGAAGCTTCCTGACCTGGGGCACCACCTCGGGGAGGCGAACGAGGGCCGCCCTGGGCAGGAGGGAGGCGCACTTCAGCACTGGCTCTCTTAGCGCTTGCAAATGCAGGTCACCTTGAAAAATGGTAAGGCAAAAATTATGTCTTTTAAAGGGCAGGGTGACATTCTTCCAGTATCTTCTACATGCAGCTCTGGAGAAGGACAAGGCCCTTTCTATCCAAGCAATTCTAAGAAAAATGTAAAGATTTTCCAAAAGGCCCCATGTTTTTTTGTTTTTTTTGAGACAGAGTCTCACTGTGTTGCCCGGGCTAGAGTGCCGTGGCGTCATCCTCGCTCACAGCAACCTCAAACTCCTGGGCTCAAGCCATCCTCCTGCCTCAGCCTCCTGAGTAGCTGGGACTACAGGCATGCGCCACCATGCCCGGCTAATTTTTTCTATATATTTTTAGTTGTCCAATTAATTTCTTTCTAATTTTAGTAGAGACGGGGTCTCGCTCTTGCTCAGGCTGGTTTCGAACTCCTGAGCTCAAACAATCCGCCCGCCTCGGCCTCCCAGAGAGTTAGGATTACAGGCGTGAGCCACGGCGCCCGTCCGAGGCCACATGTTTTAACCACTTACCCGAAAGAATCCCATGACCAACACGGCATCTCTGAAGACCACCTTGCAGTTCAGGGGATTCTTAGAGGTTAGAGGTTGGAAAGCAAGTCCTTAGCCCGAGCAAGCCCCCTGGGACCCCATCGTGAGTCTAGGAGAGCAAGGGGTGACTTGCCCACAGGTCCCCATAGCTCTGTGGCTTCTGCTGCAGCCCAGTGATCCAGTGGGACCCTCAGCCTCTGCCCTGGATACTTTTGCCAACATCACTCAGCAGGTGGGAGTCAGAGCAGGTGTCGAAGCCCAGGTTTCCTGGCCAGGGGCCCACCCCCTGCCTCTTCCTGCAGGGTGCTCGAGCCCCAGCAAGCAAGTGTGGCTCTGAGGCTCCTGCGCAGAACAACAGAACCTCCGCCATCCCGGCTCAGATGTCTGGGCAAGGTCAAAGAAGGAGGCCCACTGCCGCAGGCCCCAAACCCAGCCGTCCTTACAGCACCTTCTAGTGGGGGCGGGGGGCCGTGGCCTCGCTTTCCAGTATTTAAGGGGTTTTCAGCTAAGGCCCCAGGTCAGATTCTCAGAGCCCCTGGAATCCAGTAACTTAATGTCCGATGCCCATTACGTCCTCCTGCTGCAACGACCCTGTGGGGCTGCACCTGCGCTGTGATCCTCCCGCTCGGAGACGGCAGGTGTCTGGTCTGGGGTGGCCGCTCCAGAGGCCAAGGACAGGAGTATCAATTCTGCCAGCATGAAGCCGCCAGCTACCCACCTGGACGCACTGTTGTCAGGACTGGTTCTACTGCCACACAAGGCCACTGGCAGCCTTGGACAGCGCCAGCTGCCACTCTCAGGAGACGCTCTCGGCTGCCCAGCTTGGAGGGAGGCACAGGCTCCACGGCCGTAAGGGCAGCATGGAGACTCATGGCTGTGCTGTCCCCCATTTCCAAAAAGGACAGCTTGATGTCGTCAACTTCTGGCGGGGCCTTTAGTTAAGCAGAATTTCTCTGCAGGCGCCTTCTAACCCACAGTGGATTGAATGGCACTGCTTACCCGGAAACCGTGAACAGGACGGTATTTGGAAAAGGGTCTTTGCAGATGTGATTAAGTTAGAGATTCTAAGATGAGATCACCCTAGATTATCCGGGTGGGCCCTGAATCCCATGACAAGTGTCCTCCTAAGAAGGAGAGAAGACACGGAGGAGAAGGCCACATGAAGACAGAGACTGGAGTGACGCAGCCACAAGCCAAGGAACAGCTGGGGCCACCAGGGGCTGGAAGACGCTGCTCTGGGCAGCCCAGAAGCATGGCCCTTTCCATGCCTTGACCTCAGACTTCCGGCCTCCAGACTATGAGGGACAGATTTCTGTTCTAAGCCACCCAGGTCATGGTACTTCGTATGGCAGTCCCGGCAAACTAACACCTCACCCTAAGGGTCACGTTCGTGTTTTCACCACAGCGGGAAGCAGCAGGGCAGCAGCGGGGCTGTAGGACGCAGGCTCTCCACGCTTCACTCCAACCACTCCTTTTCTCCTTCTCCCACCTGGAATCCACGCCAAAGCAGCGGGGAAGCCCCCGCCCCAGACGCATCACGAGGCCTGTCTGTCCTTGGTACAGGCCTGACCTTGTCCCCTCGCCCCGCAGACCCCGCGCCTGGCTCTGCTTGCTCTCTGCAAACCCCGACCCGTGCTGCCGGACACTGCTTCTCCTGCCCGCACTGGTCATGCTAACGTGTTCCCTTCGGCCACTGAAATGTACCTTGGACTCAGGCCCAGAGACAAAGTCCAAACACAGGGTCCAGGTTCCACTGCCTTCTCTTTGGTACAATGCTTTTCTCAGCCCGGCCCAGGGCAGCGGGGGCTGCAGAGGGAGACTGACAGTGGTGTGCTCGGAGGGTCTTGCAGAAAGCAGTGGGGTGGACATCTCTGAAGCCCAGGCGTGCAGGCTGCCAGTCGGGACAGCAGGCACAAGCTGAGCCCAGCACGATGGCCATGAGAAACCCTGGCACCCTCTGCCGACAGAGACTGTGCCTGGTTTGCAGGTGAGGCTCAGTGGGGCTCAGAAACCAGCGCCAGGTCCCTTGGCCGAACTCCAAGACGAGGGGTGTCTATTTCAAGGCAGGAAGCCGGCACACCCGGGTCAGTCCCCACAAGGGGCTCTCCAACGCCCCCCCCCCAACATGCCATGCCCCCGAGGCAATCTCTGGTCTCTTTCCAAGCAGCATTAGGGGAAATGTCTGAGGCCCAGCCGCGCTTCCATTCTCCCCACTTGTAAGTGTTCTTTCCTCATATGCAGCCCGGTGAACGAGCCTTTACAGTCCCAAGCTGCACTACGTCAATCAAAGTTAAGCCCCGCCCCCCAGCAGCTTGGGACTGGAGGGACTGCTTCCCCTTGGAACTGCTGCCGGAGGCAACTAGCAGAGGCCCCAGCCTAAGGCCACTTCCAGACTCTGCCCATCCCGGCCCCTCCTGTGCTCCCTGAGGCTGGTCCAAGCTGGCGCTGCCAGGGACGAACTCAATGCTTCTCCTAGTCCCGTGGTACTCAGACGTGGGGTGTGGGAGAAGAACAGTGGCCTGAGACCCCGCGCGGCTGGGTGCCAGGGAGACCCCGGGGAGAACAGCAGCTCTGTCCATAGGAGCTCCTGACCCAGGCAGGTTGCCAGGAGGACCCCCGTTTTTCAGTAGTTGGAAGTTTGGGCCCCAGGGACATTGCTGGAGGACCCAGGGTGAGCTGAGGAAGGGAACAATTTGCCCAAAGAAAGGAGAAAGGAGGAGCAGCAGCAGGTGAATGGGGAGGAGGAACCCGCACACGTCTGCCAACCGGGCGGTGAGCTGAAGCTGCTCTCAGAGCCGGGCGGTCCCAGCCTCCCTGCCGCTCCTGCTTCAGGAACCCCGCACCTTTCTTCCCGAGCACACTCCCACCTCGGTGACCCTGCCCACACAGTGTGCCTACCTGGGGTGACCTCTCCCTCCCCACACCCCAGCTAAGGATGGATGGCAGTCGAGCCTGGGCTGAGGACTGTCCCGTGCAGGGTCTGCCCCTGCCATACCCGCTCCCTAGCTCAGGGACCAGGCCAAAGGCGGCAAGAGGGTCCCTCCTCCTGACTAGGCCTGCCCAGCCCTCCCGCTGCCCACAGGGCGAGGAAATGCCCAACACCCTGGTTCTGCCTCTGGGCAGCATGACACCCACTGCACCCAGGCCTCCTCCCACCCCGCCAGGGGCCACCCAGCTACAACGAGGAAGCCGTGAGCTCCTCCCTAAGGATAGGTGGGACGGCAAGAGGACCTGCTGGCAAGGCTTTCAAAGGGCAGCTTCCTAAGCCACAGCGACCAGTCCTGAGCTGTCTTTGGGGTTCTCTTCAGAGTGCACGCTTGTAAGGGGTGGGTGGCTTCCCTGCCAGGGGGTGCAGCACACCCTTCCCTTTGACCACCCCCAGGAGTGGGCACCGTGGCCTCACTGTCGGCGACCTTACTCAGGCCTCCTGACCCATGGGGGACAGGTATGGAACCCTGGGGCCCCAGCAGGTGAGCACGCAAACACCTGCGGTCGCCAGCCCGCCCTCGCTCCGGGCTCTCTGAGCTCCAGCGGGGCATCCCTGGGGCGACTCCTCCGTGCCCCCCAGGCCTGCCGCATTTTCTCGCCTCCTGGGAGCCCCCGTCCCAGCTGGCCCGGCTGGCAGGAAGGGGCAGGGACCCCGGCGGGAGCCAGCGGCTGCGCCACAGCTCGTAGTGGGGAGCGCATCCTCCCTGAGCACCAGCACCCCCGCCCTGACGCTGGGACCAATCCCACCCGCAGGGGCCCACCGGGTGCTCAGCCCCACTTCCGCCCCCGCAAACCAGCGGACGCGGGAGGCTCAGCCCAGCGCCTGCCTCCCCGAGCGGAGGCTCGTCTGGGGTGGCCCGGGCAAGGTCACGAGGAGGCCGGCTGCGGCCACCACGCCGCGGGCCCGCACGGCGGGCGCGGGGACGCCCGGGCGCGTTACGTAAGGCCGGGCGGCGGGTCGCGGCGGCGCGTACCTGCAGCGGGAACGTGGCTGCCCGGTTGCCCACGTAGCCGCGGACGACGTGGCTCTGGATGGAGAGCACCCGGCACTCCTCCGCCATGCCGGGCCAGCCGCGGCGGCGCGGGGCCAGGCGCGGGTCACGGGCTCCGCCGAGCGCTGGGGCTCGGCTCGGGCTCGGCGCGGCTCCCGCTCGGCGCAGGCGCTCGCCTCGGACGCCAGGCCGCCTCCCCCTGACCTCCGCCGGCGGCTCCGCACCCGAGTCCCGCGCGGCGCCGGGGCGGGCCGGGGGCGGGGACAGCGCAAGCCCCGCCCCGGGAGGGGAACCGGGAAGAAGCGAAACCGACCCGGCCAGCTGGGCCTCGGTGACCCGGGCCGCTCTGCGCTCGGGCACGTGGGCGGGAGCGGCCACCCCCGGAACGCTGGGTCTGTCCTTTCGTCCTGCCCAGCAGGGACGCTGCGGCGCCGTGCATGCATGAATCACTCATTCATTCAACACACGTGGCCGGCGGGCCCTGCGCCCTGCGGAAGACGCGGGGGCCGGCGCCACGCCTCTGCCTTTAGCATGGCCCTTGGGGCGCAGCGGGACGGGGAACTCGCCCCGCAGGCGGAGCCCGAGAGTGGGCGCGGGCGCGGCGCGGAAGTCAGCCTCCTCCGCCCCCGCTGGCCTTCAGTGCCCCACGCCCACCCCCAGGCCGCCCCTCTGCCACCGCTTTGGACGCGCAAGCTCTTGGGGGACGGGGCCCAGTCTCGCCCAGGCGGGCCGGCGGACACCTCTGGGGACCCCGAGTGCCCCCTCCGTTGGCGCAGCCTGCAGAGGCTCCGAGCCCCGGCCACGTGCCGGCCCTCCAGCCACAGGTGTCCCGGGGCTGGGCCACATGTCTGGTCCCACCCCCGCTGGTTCTGCCTGCCCGCAAGGACAAACTTGACCGGTGGAGGCCCAGCGCCTGCCCTCGCCACAGCTGACGCACTTCCTGCCCTTCCCTAAGCCACCCCAGGGAGCTGAGACCTCCCTTGGTTCTGGACGTACAGACATGGCCATTTGCGTTCCCTGGGTCAGTGACACCAGACTAAAGAAAGTCTTGGTGACCTCAGGCAGCGCACCTAAGGCTCTCTGCAGCTTGGTGAGAGCGCTGCCACGGTGATGGGCTAGCGCTAGGGAGTCTGTGCAGGACTTTGCCACCGAGGTCCAGATCTTAAAGAGGAAGTACATTGAAATTAGTAATAACTAATGGAGGATTAATAATAGCTAGCACTTCAGCAGGGTGCAGTGGCTGGCACCTGTAGTCCCAGCTACCTGGGAGGCTGAAGGATCGCTTGAGCCCAGGAGTTCCAGTTCAGCTTTGGCAACAAAGGGAGATTCTGTCTCAGTAATAATAATAGCAATAATAACTAACATTTATCGAGCACTTACTATGTGCCAAGAACGTTTCATGCATTAACACATTGAATCTTCGCATCTGCTCTGTAAGGTAGGAGTCCATCCCATCTTACAGGTAAGGAAACCCAGGAGGAGAAGCTAGAGGTTATAGAGTTGGTGACAAGTGTTGGGTGAGCCCCAAGAACCCACAGTGGCAAGCAGCACTACCCACTGCCCATACTGACCCTTTGTTGTCCTGCTCTGTGAGGTCATCCGCCCTTGGCTCTTGGGAGGGTCTGATAACTCTTTTCTTGTGCAGCTGATTTCATTTCTCCCACCTTGGTCTGTCACCCATGGTCCCCTCCCCACTCACTGGGCAAACCTCATAAGCACCCTCCCCCATCCTCAGCCCCCCACCCATCACACTTTGGCCCAGGTACATCCAAAGCACTAAGAGGAAAGAGCAGAGGAGGTGGGGAAGGGCCTGTGGGCTCTGGGACCCTCCCCCTCAGCACAGGGCCCAGGCACCTGGAGGTCAGAATGCTGAAAATGACATTTTGGTGAAAACACTTTTGCTCTTAGTTTCTTGGGCTTTTCAAAGATCAGGTTCCCATTCCCAGCTATTGGGCAGGTGCCCAGTACCCGGTTCTCAGACTGGAGTCACCTGAGGGAACCCGATGCTCACGCGGGACCGGGCCTGTCTCACCTCACCGGGCCTGGCCCTGGGTGCCCGTTAGCTCTCCAGGTGCTTATAAGATCCCCCAAGCGCGAAAGCCACTGTTTGAGCAGATGAGTTAATTTGGTATTTGGATGAGCACGTGTTACATGACACCTTAGATGGGCGTTTGAGTTACGGCCGTCTCAGTTGCGGGTGGTAGGTGATACAATATCTCTTTCAAGGGTGGTGAACCTCGGAAAATGCTGTGATTATGGTGGCCATATGTCATGTGATCAGCAATATTTTTAAAAAGCTTTCCATTTGGACCCAGTGATGGACATGACTG